ATACTATAGCAGTAGTTTTCCAAAAAGAAGGAATTCGGTCTGCAGGCCAGCCCACAAAACCCTATTTAATCCGTAATACTTTTGAAGTGGTGTCACAAATTCATGTTTCCCAGTCGAGTTCTGGCCTTGGCCTAAGAGACGTTATAGCCTGGAAGCATGAGAATTGAGGGCTCTCTTTACACAGAATTTTAAAAACAGCCACACTTTTCTCTGGCACTGTTCCTGTGCTATGCCCCGAGGAGACCCCTCTCTGCAGCCCCAGTGTGCCTGTGACCAAGCTGGCCAGACCTTTTCTACCCCGAGCATCTAGGATCTTGAGGACCTACTTCTCTTCCTTCCAGTGGAGCCTCTTCTCCTAAGGGAGCTTCCTCAGATGAGTGTGGAGGACAAAGCAGTACATAATTAAATAGATTTGTACTAAGGATGAATTATTTCCTAGTCACTAACTCCTTTCCTGCTCCAAGTTCAGAAATTCTGCCAATTTTTTTCTAGAGCCAGTTCTGGCTTTTCATATCTTTTTTCCTCCTCTTCTGAAGCTACATAGCTTATAAGTCTCACACTTTCCATAATGGTCCCAGTGCAACCATGGCAAATGGCTTTGTTGTGGGGAGGGGAGGGGGAGGAGGGGCAGTGTGGGGAGAGTGCCTGAATTTGCAAAGCCCACCCTGGCACCCTGAGCGAGCTGGGCTCTGGCCTCTGGAGAGCACATCTTGTAGCCTGTTGGTTGCTGTCTTTCCAAGGCAGAGGTTTGGGACCCTGCTGTATTGCGGATTCCCAGGCACCGCCTAGCCCTACTCAGTTAGAATCTCTACAGGTCTCATCAAATGTCTCTATTTTAAGTTTTTTTTTTTTTCCTGAGCCCAGATTCTTTTTCTGGAAGGACTTTCACATCTCCAAGTGCTTAGGGATACCTCTATTTAGAAATTCCACTGGTGCTTCAAACCAGAGCTCCAAGAGCAAATTTTCTCAGTTGAGAGACAGTTTACTGGGGGAAGAAAGTGGAGAGGAAAGCCAAGTTCACCTATGAACCTTAAGGAATATCTGCTGTCACATGATCATAGGAGGGGAAGACAAAGAACCAAAACAGAGACAGGAAAGGGGCAGGATAACAGCTTGCCTCTGAAGTCAAAATTTTGAGGCAGGTTTAGACAGTAATGTCAAAGCCTCTGAAAGGTCACTTGTTCTTAAGGATGTCTTTTTACCCTGGCTCTCCCATCTTCCTCTGGCTCAACATGGAGTAAGCCCTGGCTATTTGCTCTCATCCACTTGGTACAGACATTCAAACAATCCAACGGAAACTGGCAGGGGGTTAAAGATTTTCACTTTTCGAATGTCTCTTAGGCTTCAGTTCAGTTCAGTTCAGTTGCTCAGTCATGTCCGACTCTTGACCCCATGAATCGCAGTACACCAGGCCTCCCTGTCCATCATCAACTCCCAGAGTCTACTCAAACTCATAACACATAGAGTCGGTGATGCCATCTAGCCATCTCATCCTTTGTTGTCCCCTTCTCCTCCTGTCCTCGATCCCTCCCAGCATCAGGGTCTTTTCCAATGAGTCAACTCTTCGCATGAGGATATGCACAAAATGCTTTGATTAGAATCAAAACAGTAAATGGCCTGACTTCCTCCTATTGCCCATTGCCAATCCCTTCTCCACCCAGTAGTCAGAGTGATCCTTCCACAGTGTCATTCCTCTGCTTAAATCCCTCCAGTGGTTTCTTTTCATCGCACTGAAACTAATACCTGTACTCCAACAGGCTTGTGAGGCCCTGCAGACCTGGCCTTCCCCCGTGTCCCTCACATCTGCTAGGCTTCAAGTCACACTGCCACTTCTGAGAACTCACTAAGCTCATTTATCACTTGTAAAACTCTTCCCTGGCCCTTGGCACGGGAACCTCTACCTGTCTTCCTTTATGCATCATTTTGGAAGTTACTTTTACAACCACCCTTTCCAAAGCAGATATCCCTTCTTGCAGTCTCTACTACAATACCCCTTTACTTGCTTTCTATCTGTTATCACAATGTATAATTATTCTGGTTAGTTCTCTACTTTATTTATTTTGTTACTGTTTGTCTCTCTCATCAGAATGTAAGCTTCACAGGGAAAGGAATGTTTCAGATTCACCACTGTATCCCCAGGGTACGTAGTACCTGGCATATAGTAAATGCTCAACAAATAATTGTTAGCTAACTGAATTACCCAAAGCAAGTCATTTATCCACTCCACAGATGATTATTGAGTGGATACATGTACCAGATTCTGAGGATATAATAAAAGACAAGGTGGACAAAATGTGAAGCAAACCCTGGATAAGGGAAAAAAAGTGCTTATATCTAAGAATAATCCTATGCTAATACAATAACTTACTGGGCTGCAAGCACATATTAATTTTTATTATGTGACAGACATTATGTCAGTACATTTGGTGCCACTAAAAAACTAAGGAATATCATGCCTGCTTTTTGATAGACTAAAGTATATAGAATAAAGAAAGAAAAACAGCAAGAGGGAAAAAAGAGGGGAGGGGCAGAGAGGAGAAGAAGAGGAGAAAATAGTCCAGTGATGTCTCTATTCTCAGAAAACTTAAAGAAATTATCTTTAACACTTAAAATAGAAGATAAGGTTAGAGTCATACTAAATTTAAAAAAAAGAAAGAAAACAGAAAATTTGGTATGCTATTTCAAAGCAAACAATCCCCTAAGAAAGCTCTATATTTATTCTAATAATGTTGTTAATCCTGAAAACATTCATGAAACTGCCATCTTCAAATTGCTGCCAGAGATAGTTTATTAAGCATACAAAAAAAGAAAAAAACATTTTACTTTATTTTTAATCCCCAATGATATTTCCCAGATTGATTTCCCATCATTCTCCTTGAACTTGCTTTCACTGGACCTATTGAGAGTGCTTTAAAAATCAAATTCATTCCTAAAGGTCAAAGATTCATCATACTGAGGATATTCTAAAACATGCACACTTAAGCCAATCCTCAGAAAAGAGTTCCAGGAATGTTTGAACAAAGATAGAATCTTCTCAATGACCACTATGAAAGAGACAGAATTCATCTGGATAAACAGCTAAATCTAACTAATCTGACATCACTAGAAATGGGGTATTCTGTATCTTTCACATACATAGAGTATATAGCTGATTTTAATCTTTCTGATACAGTCATCCTTATGGCCATCAATTATTAACCCATACTATAAACATGGGCTTCCGCAGTGGCTCAGCAGAAAAGAATCCGCCTGCAATGGAGGAGACGTGTGTTCAATCCCTGGGGTGGGAAGATCCCCTGGAGAAGGGCGTGGCAAGCCGCTCCAGTGTTCTTGCCTGGAGAATCCCCCTGGCCAGAGGTGCCTGGCGGGCTACAGGCCATAGGATTGCAAAGCGCTGGAGATGACTGAAGCGACCAGGCACACAGCACACACAGCTATGAACAAAGGGCACTCGAGATTACTGGTATGGGTAGGGGTGCTCGTCTCTGTCGCATATTGGGCCAAACTGCAATGCTTTTAAAGTTTTTCGTTTGCACTTAGTTTTTCTTTCTTCTTATGCATGGTCAGTCTTTCAGCTGCCATCACTTCTTGTTACTATTAGTAAGTCTGGCTCTTGCAAATTTCCTGCTTATAAAATTGCTGCTTCTAATATGTACTGGGACTAGCAATGACAAAATTGTGAAATGGCAGAAGTGGGGGTGGGATGAAGACTCACAGAACTACAAGATACAACACTTTAGCAAGAGGCATGTTACTGGTGTAGCAGGGTGGAGGAAGAAGTGGTGGGTGGCAATAAGCTCTGCAATTGTTCATCTGACTCAACGAAAGAGAAGTAAATGAAAATTATCTCAGGGGAGACAAGAGATAATCCTTGTTTATCTGTGACCTAGACAGACCTCTGACTAGCCTGGAGTAGACACAGATACAATCCAGGGCATAGTGTTGGTGAGAAAGTTCAGAGCCAATGAACCTAATTCTAAGGTGCCTGCTATCCATTTCCATGGCCTCACTCCCAAACTCCACCTCTGGGAGCAAACAGCTGCCCTCAGAAAGAATGAAAACAAGATTATAAATCTTCTAAATAGAAAGCAGTCAAATACTCATAAAATAAAATGAATAAAATGAAAAATGATTAAAAAAAATGAAAAGCAAATATCTAATTATGTCTTCTGTATACAGAGAATAATACAAGACAAAAATTCTTATCCTCATGAAACTTGTATTCTTATGGAATATGTAAATGGCATAATACCTCTCATTAAAGACTCCTAGATTTAATAAAAGCAAACAAAACCCCTAGCATTATACTATATACCAATATGAATTCAAAACAAAAGGAAAACCCCTAACATTATGCTATATAACAATATGGATTTAAAACAAAAGGATTCAAATAATAAAAGATATTATCAGGCAAATGAAAATTGAAAGAAAGCACGGTTGAGATATTAAGTGCAGATAAGTAAAGACAAAGTAACTGAGCAAAAATATCTAGGATGGTTGGAGGAATATGCTTCTTAGTATCTTTGATATTAACTCAATAACAGAGGTATCTCTGCTTTGCTTTTGGAGAGTTTTCAATATGAGGTGTTGACAAATAACAGAGAAGAAAAGTAGGAACTTATAAAGGGAAAAGTGATAAAGAGATGTTTTTCTGTTGGAAGATGATAGAATCCAACAATTACTGGCCAAAGTGAAATTCAGTAGTATAAGTACCACACATGATCTTTTTGATTCAACAAAAATCTAACACCAAATGCCATGTGAGTTCCATCCTACTTGCACTAACTCAGTGAAGTTAAGCAAGTCCTTTAAGCAGTTTGGGCTTCAGTTTGATCACCTGTAAAATGGGGTGGTAGGATGGGATGACCTTTCACGTGAAATGTATCTTTAATCTTGGATTTCACTGTTATCAAAATATATAGGACCTTGATGTTTTAAATATATATGGATTACTGACTTAAACATAAAATATATTTGGAAATTATTCTTGACTGTACCTTTCACTTTTCAGTGTTACAACTTCTTCCTTTGTCTGAATCAGAAGAGTTTTGGTTATTTCCAGTTCATTTTCTGCAATATTAATTCTTCTTTTTAAGTCATCTTCTTGCCTTTCTTTTGCAGTCAGTTCTTCCTGTAAAGTTTTATATATTTGTTGACAAGTCATTAAAGATTCTTCTTTTTCTTTAAGCAATCTGGTATGCCTAAAATGGAATAAGGAAAAAAACCCAACCAATATGCATTTAATACTATATTTTTATGTTTATCAAAAATGTATAAACATCTCATTTAAAAATAAAGAGTATAACTTTAATTTTTAAAATAAGAATGCTACATAAATAGATAGTTCTGTGATTTAAAAATTTTCTTATCTAGGCAGAGGCAAAAATCATTGAACAGCTTCAATACATTATAAACTAAGGTTAGATATTGTTTACATAAGCAATACTATAAAAAAAGTTAAGTGAATTTTAAATATTATCTAAAATATGGTTTCAAATTCAATTACTAAAAATATTAAATAAAAAATTTGCAATGTGTACCGTGAGTCAGAGATAATGGATTCAAACTTCAGTTTTCTAAGTTCTCTTTGACACTCATCAGCTTCATTAGATTTATTCCTAAAATAATACAAAATAGGTTTAAATATTTTATTTCAAAATAGTTAAAGTGAAAATGTTTTCCCTTTTATTAAGATATATTTTTCCTTTATTACTTTTCTTATCTTTATATTCTACTTGTTACATACACAGATTTCCTTAAAATTAGAATACATACTCAAAGGGTTTCTGTTTGCCAAAAATACCTTAATCTGTTAGTCCAACTATATGTGTTTTTCTATATCATTATTTTATTTATCCATTAAAAATTTCTTAGCTTCTTTATATTACCATTTCTTTAAAGAAATAAATATTCAGTCCATTTCTGTACTGGCCAAGTAATATCCTATCAGGCAGATCTGCATTTAAATAAAATGTCTAAACTTTAGACAACATTAAAAGAGGTAAGAAAAGAAAAACCCCTATGTGCAAGTGACCAAAAGCAGGATGATTCTGGAGGAAAACTGATACTTCCAATGAGGTGACAGACATGGGGTCAGGTTTTTGGTTTTTGTTTTTTGTTTTTAAATGATGTTAAGCCTGAGGGCAGGCCCCAAACTGCACCATACCAGAGAACCAAAATCCAAATAGAAAACTCACAGTCACTCTGGCTTGAAGAACTACAGGACAGTGTTTGAGGACAACCACAGCAGCTGGGAGGTAAAGAGTGAACCCTGAATGGGAGCCACCCGGAGAGAGGGAATCCCAGATGCTGCATATAAACTCTGCCTATGTCTGGCTGAGCCCTGAACTACAGGTGACCTGGTGAAGACTCCAAGCAGTCTAATTAAAGATGAAAGAAGTGTTACAACTTCTTCCTTTGTCTGAATCAGAAGAGTTTTGGTTATTTCCAGTTCATTTTCTGCAATATTAATTCTTCTTTTTAAGTCATCTTCTTGCCTTTCTTTTGCAGTCAGTTCTTCCTGTAAAGTTTTATATATTTGTTGACAAGTCATTAAAGATTCTTCTTTTTCTTTAAGCAATCTGGTATGCCTAAAATGGAATAAGGAAAAAAACCCAACCAATATGCATTTAATACTATATTTTTATGTTTATCAAAAATGTATAAACATCTCATTTAAAAATAAAGAGTATAACTTTAATTTTTAAAATAAGAATGCTACATAAATAGATAGTTCTGTGATTTAAAAATTTTCTTATCTAGGCAGAGGCAAAAATCATTGAACAGCTTCAATACATTATAAACTAAGGTTAGATATTGTTTACATAAGCAATACTATAAAAAAAGTTAAGTGAATTTTAAATATTATCTAAAATATGGTTTCAAATTCAATTACTAAAAATATTAAATAAAAAATTTGCAATGTGTACCGTGAGTCAGAGATAATGGATTCAAACTTCAGTTTTCTAAGTTCTCTTTGACACTCATCAGCTTCATTAGATTTATTCCTAAAATAATACAAAATAGGTTTAAATATTTTATTTCAAAATAGTTAAAGTGAAAATGTTTTCCCTTTTATTAAGATATATTTTTCCTTTATTACTTTTCTTATCTTTATATTCTACTTGTTACATACACAGATTTCCTTAAAATTAGAATACATACTCAAAGGGTTTCTGTTTGCCAAAAATACCTTAATCTGTTAGTCCAACTATATGTGTTTTTCTATATCATTATTTTATTTATCCATTAAAAATTTCTTAGCTTCTTTATATTACCATTTCTTTAAAGAAATAAATATTCAGTCCATTTCTGTACTGGCCAAGTAATATCCTATCAGGCAGATCTGCATTTAAATAAAATGTCTAAACTTTAGACAACATTAAAAGAGGTAAGAAAAGAAAAACACCTATGTGCAAGTGACCAAAAGCAGGATGATTCTGGAGGAAAACTGATACTTCCAATGAGGTGACAGACATGGGGTCAGGTTTTTGGTTTTTGTTTTTTGTTTTTAAATGATGTTAAGCCTGAGGGCAGGCCCCAAACTGCACCATACCAGAGAACCAAAATCCAAATAGAAAACTCACAGTCACTCTGGCTTGAAGAACTACAGGACAGTGTTTGAGGACAACCACAGCAGCTGGGAGGTAAAGAGTGAACCCTGAATGGGAGCCACCCGGAGAGAGGGAATCCCAGATGCTGCATATAAACTCTGCCTATGTCTGGCTGAGCCCTGAACTACAGGTGACCTGGTGAAGACTCCAAGCAGTCTAATTAAAGATGAAAGAACGAACTGAGAGTTGAGCTGTTGCCATAGAAACAGAGTTGTGGTTTTAGGCCAACCAAATTAATTGCCTATTTAAAGCCACGCAGCCCCTTCCCAACCACTACATCAACAGTATTTGGAGAAATAGAACCTAAAAATTCTGTAACATAACATTCATGAAGTTCAGAATATTAAAAAAAAAAAAATTTACTCAACATAGGAAGAAACAGAAAAGCAGGACCTATTCTAAAGAGAAAAGACTGTTAAAAGGGAATGACTCTGAGATGACCCAGATATTGAAATTAGCAGACAAGGACTTTTGAAGGCACTGTTATAATTCTCCTTGAAGACATAAAGGAAAATCTAGTTCTTGAAAAGATAAAAAAATCTCAGCAGAGGAAAAAACCATTAAAAACAGCAAAATGAGTTAAGGAGTCTGAGATGGACATGTACACACTGCTATATTTAAATGAATAACCAACAAGAGCCTACTGAGTAGCACACGGAACTCTGTTCTCTATGATATGGCAGCCTGGATGAGAGGGGAGTTTAGGGGAGAATAGATACATGTATACGTTTGGCTGAGTTGCTCTGCTGTGGACTTTAAACAATCATAACATTGTTAATTGACTATACTTCAATATACAACAAAAAGTTAAAAGAAATGAAAAAAAATTTTAAAAGAATGAAATGGAAATTCTAAAAAAAAATAAATATTTGTCTTGATCTTATATGATTGGGTTTGTAACAATATTCAAAAAGTCAACATATTAAGAAAGATTAATATTCTAGTTTGTATATGCTTCTCATTAATAACTTATATGAATATACTTTAAAATAGCTTTATAAGCTATTTTAATAAGTTTATGAATGTACAAAGAAATATGTTAGATTATTAACGGGTTTGCCCTACTTGCAGAGTAACTTTAATTCCTAATATACAATGAACATGAACAGCATTCATTTATTTTTATTCATTTATTTTTTTTACTGTAAAATATGATAAAATTGTAAGCTGCAGAAAATTATGTGAACAATTTATATAATGAATTATTAGGAGGAAACTAATTACTACCATCCAGGTAAAAAAATAAAACCTCATCATCTAGCTTAGAAGCCACATACCCTCAACCCAAGCATAGTCAACTCCCTCGCTCCTAAATTGATCATTCGTGAGAATTTTGTGGTAATCACTTTGATTTTCTTTGGAGTTGTACTGCCCAAGTTTTATCCCTAAATACTATACTTTAATTCTTTTTCTTTTTATAAAAAAATCTTTTTAGAATGTTTCTTTTATTATCTACTTTTTGTAAAATAGCTTATTTAAGTATTATATTAACATACAATTGTTGCTGTTCAGTCACTCAGCCATGTCGGACTCATTTTGACCCCATGAACTATAGCATGCTAAGTCTTCCCTGTCCTTCACCATCTTCCAGAGCTTGCTCAAACTCATGTCCATTGAGTTGGTGATGCCATCCAATCATCATTCTCTGTCATCCTCTGCTCCTCCTGCCTTCAGTCTCTCCCAGAATCAGGGTCTCTTCCAATGAGTTGGCTCTTAGGATCAGGCGGTCAAAGTACTAGAGCTTCAGCAATCAGTCCTTCCAATGAATATTCAGGATTGATTTCCTTTAGAATTGACTGGTTTGATCTCCTTGCAATCCAAGGGACTCTCAAGAGTCTTCTCCAACTCCACAGTTCAAAAAAGCATCAATTCTTTGGCACTCAGCCTTCTTTATGGTCCAACTCTCACATCCATACACGACTACTGGAAAAATTACAGCTTTGACTAGACAGACTTTTGTTGGCTAAGTAATGTCTCTGCTTTTTAATATGCTATCCAGGTTTGTCATAGCTTTTCTTCCAAGGAGCAAACGTCTTTTAATTTCATGGCTACAGTCACCATCTGCAGTGATTTTGGAGCCCAAGAAAATAAAGTCTCTCACTGTTTCCACTGTTTCCTTGTCTATTTGCCATGGAGTGATGGGACTGGATGCCATGATCTTAGTTTTTTAATGTTGAATTTTAAGCCAGCTTTTTCACTCTCCTCTTTCACTTTCATCAACAGGTTCTTTATACAGCCTTGATGTACTCCTTCCCTAATTTGGAGCCAGTCCATTGTTCCATTCCAGTTCTAACTGTTGCTTCCTGACCTGCATACATATTTCTCAGGAGACAGTAAGGTGGTCTGGTGTTCTCAACTCTTTAAGAATTTTCCCCAGTTTGTTGTGATCTACATAGTCAAAGGCTTTAGTGTAGTCCATGAAGCAGATGTTTTCCTGGAATTCTCTTGCCTTTTCTGTGATCCAACTGATGTTGGCAATTTGATCCCTGGTTCCTCTGCCTTTTCTAAATCCCGCTTGATCATCTGGAAGCTCTTGGTTCACATACTGTTGAAGCCTACCTTGGAGAATTTTGAGCATTACTTTTCTAGCATGTGAAATGAGTACAATTGTGCAGTAGTTTGAACATTCTTTGGCATTGCCTTTCTTTGGGATTGGAATGAAAACTGACTTTTTCCAGCCCTGTGGCCACTGCTGAGTTTTTCAAATTTGCTGGCAAATTGAGTGCCGCACTTTCACAGCATCATCTTTTAGGATTTGAAATAGCTCAGCTGGAATCCCATCAGCTCCACTAGCTTTGTTCGTAGTGATGCTTCCTAAGGTCGGCTTGACTTCACACTCCAGGACGTCTGACTGTAGCCGAGTGATCACAGAACACTCAGTAACATAACACACGATGCTGTGCTTAGCTGCTCAGTCGTGTCCAACTCTCTGTGACCCCATGGATTGTAGCCCACCAGGCTCCTCTGGCCATGGGATTCTTCAGGCAAGAATACTGGAGTTGGTTGCCATGCCCTCCTCCAGGGACTCTTCCCAACCCAAGGATCACTCAAGTCAACTGCATTGCGGGTGGATTCTTTCCCAGCTGAGCCACCAGGGAAGCCCCAGAATACTGGAGTGGGTAGCCTATACCTTCTCCAGGGGACCTTCCCGACCCAGGAATTGAATCGGGTCTCCTGCATCACAGGTGGATTCTTTAACAGCTGAGCTACCAGGGAAGCCCCTAATATACAATAAACTCACACAATTTGAAAGATTTGACATATGTATAAAAACTATCACTAGAATCAAGTAGCACTTGAGCGTACTTAGAGCTTAGATACTGGTCTCTAATACCATTCCCACTCAAAGGAACCAGGACTGCTCAGACAAACAGCTGATTCCAAGGCTGGGGCACAGTAGGTATTCCTGAAACTGTTTGTTATAATGAAAGTGAAGTGAAGTCACTCAGTCATGTCTGACTCCGTGCGACCCCATGGGCTGTAGCCTACAGGCTCCTCCATCCATGGGATTTTCCAGGCACGAGTACTGGAGTGGGGTGCCATTTCCTTCTGCAGGGGATCTTCCCAACCCAGGGATCGAACCCGGGGCAGGGATTGAACCCGGGTCTCCCGCACTGCAGGCAGACGCTTTACCGTCTGAGCCTCCAGGGAAGCAATGAAAGTAAGGAAGTACTTATAAAAGATGATGGGAATGTGTTCCAGCATTGTAAGAATCAGCTTGAAGGGGCCCCCACTAGCTAACTTGTGTGCCAAAGTAATTAAGTACAGTAATGATTGGTGAATCATTGAACAAAATAAAGTTCAGGAATCCATACCAATAATTGATAAATAATGGGAAGAGGGAGGTTCTTATTTAAAGTAGAATGAAGAGGGATCACTAATAAATGAGGAGGGAGATCTGGAGTTGGAAAAATCATCTAATAACAACTGGATAAGGACTGGATGAGGCAAAAATCATTTATGGATAAATGCTGATGAAAATCAGAGCATGTGTATGTATTTAAAGTGTCCCTTATAGACTGTTTACTGGCTGAAACAGAACAAAAACCCTCAGCAATAACCTTCAGTGAAAGAACTAAGTTCTACTTTGACCAGGTGATCAAAATTAACATCACCAGTGAGAAGCAGATGCTCATGTGCCTCCAGCTGTGATGCCCTGAGAAGTGCTTGTGCTTACCTAGGAGGCTTGCAGGCTGAGAGTACATATCCTTAATCCAATCAAGAGGAAAATACAAAATGGAAAAATTTTATTTAAAAAAAGTATGAAGGGTTCTACATTCTTCAAAATTGTCCATGTCATAAAAAGATATAGCCATTTGAAAACTAAGTGTATTATGCAATGACATGGGAAAATATCCAGGATATATTACTAAGTGAAAATATGTTTAAAATAT